AAGTGAGTCCCAGGCCCTGAACAGCAGATACAAAGTGATCAAGATGAAGTCCCAGGCAATGGACAGCAGGTACAAAGTCATCGAGATGAAGGATCTTCGTGCATTTGAAGAACTAAGGGAAGGACCCTGCACCTGAGGCTTGGAGTGGAAGGTGGGAGGGGTTTCTTAGAAAATTAAAACTGAAGTGTAGGTTTCCTCTCTAGCAGTATACATCAGTGCAGTGTCTGGAGTCTGACCGAGTTCAAATTCTGACTCTGCCACTCTATGAACAAAAATTTTGTTAATTTCTCTGAGCTTCTTTCGCTTTTTAAGAAATTTTTTTTAGACAGGGTCTCTGTCACCCAGACTGGAATGCAGTGGTGTGATCATAGTTCACTGCAGCCTCGACCTCCTGGGCTCAAATGATCATCCTGCCTCAGCCTCCTGAGTGGCTGGGACCACAGGCACACACCGTCACAAGCACTAAGTTTTTATATTCTTCTTGGAGGAAAAGTCTCTCTTTCCTCCCCAGGATGATCTCAAACTTCTGGACCAAGCAATCCTCCCACCTCAGTCTTCCGGAGTGCTGGGATTACAGGTGTGAGCCACCTTACCTGGCCTGTTGGTTTTTTTTTAATGGGATTGATATGGTTTTTATCAAGATTTAACAAACAACTCCTACTACACAGAAAGCTCTTAGCACAGTTTCCAGTTTATAGAAGTAACCAAGAAGGATAAATGATTATTCATTATTGTATGGCTTATACATAGCTTTTATTTCCTTGTTGATAGTGTAGTTTTATATAGTTAGTGTGATAGGATCATTAATATTCTCCAATAACATCTATTCTTTGGTGGAACTAATTGCTAAGTTTGTTAGTTGTCTGACCAAATACAGTTTTTTGAAGAGTGGGTATTTTCTGTTACTTTAGAACACCATGTTGTTAATCATAAAGTACAGAGTGGTCCTCAGTAGATCTTTTGAAATCCCTGATCCTGTAGGGAAAGTATTGGGTGTGTATGACTATAGATATCTTCAGGTTCCAAAACTAGTACTCCAAAGGTTAGGAACTGCTGCTTTAAACGGTGTTTTCAAGTACATTGCATCCTGGGCCTGCAGATGCTGTGTAACTATCTGTGGGATCGGGGCTGCCTGTTCTTTCTGGGCTCTGAAGTACATCGTACACAGTGACTGTGGTGATTGGGCTTGGCTGTGACCTGGTGTGGACCTGCTCGTCTAGGGCAGCTACCATGCAGAGAAATGGCATATTTGATTATATCATGCATATTTTTTCTGTAACTGTATAAATTCTTTATTAAAATACTCTGAGTAGCTGTTACACAGTGTAAAATTTTAATAAGCTTATATTATTAGACTAAAATAATTAGTTGAGGAAAGATGTGGTTCTTGCTCAAAGAAAACTAAGTACCTAGCACAAGCTTGTCATCTCTATATTGAACTCTTTTCCATTACTGCCTGCATTGACTTGGTTCTTCTACCTGCCTGGTAGGACTCCTATACTTTTTCACACCAGGGCTACTCACCCAGCTATCTAGTTTTCTGGACGAGGGATAGGAGGGTTGCATCTCCACCTCTAGAGCAGGTGCCGATTAATCTTTCTGGAACTAACTATTGAAGCTGTTCTTTTGCCAAAACTAGCCTTAGAGAAGTCTTCAGAAGCCTATTTCTTTATCTTTATTTTCCTAAGTCTTTCCAGTAATGGAAAGACTAGGTGGGGGAGTGGGAGATTAATCTTTCTGGAACTAACTATTGAAGCTGTTCTTTTGCCAAAACTAGCCTTAGAGAAGTCTTCAGAAGCCTATTACTTTATCTTTATTTTCCTAAGTCTTTCCAGTAATAAAAAGACTAGGTTGGGGAGTGGGAGAGTGGAGGGCCCTGCCAGGTGTAATTCTCTTTACTGGGCACAAACTCTGCCAGGCTGTCTTTGAAATAGCAAGGGTCCTCTTGATAATTAGCTCTCAACTCTAGGCAGTTCCCTGCCTGCCTTATCCTTTCAGTGTGATGCCCTAATTTCTAGTAGGAATGGAAGGAGAAGATGACTGCTTAATAGAAAAAGTTGGTCATAGCAGGGATTCTTCAAAAAAGATGGTTACATCTCTTATTTTTTGAGACAGAATCTTGCTCTGTCGCCCAGGCTGGAGTACAGTGGTGTGATCTTGGATCATTGCAACCTCCACCTCCCAGGTTCAAGTGATTCTCCTGCCTCAGCCTCCTGAGTAGCTGGGATTACAGGCCTGTGCCACCATGCTGGCTAATTTTTGTATTTTAGTAGAGACAGGGTTTTACCATGTTGGCCATGCTGGTCTTGAACACCTGGCCTCAAGTGATCCACCCACCTCAGTCTCCTAAAGTGTTGGGATTATAGGTGTGAGCCCCTGCACCTGGCCAAGATGGCTACATTTCTAAAGCTTCTCATTTTAATTGAAGAATGCATATTCATAGGCTGACCATGTGATCTGAGCCAAGGCCTTGCCTTGCTTGACACATGGACTCTGTCCCTTTGTCTGTAGATCACACCTGTAAGGCCTTGCCTACATTTCCAGGTTCAGTGTCTTATATGGTGTGAGAACATATGTCAGGCAATGCAAATGTAAATGCTTGTCATTTTTTACAGTGTGTTTACAGTATTTTCTACTTGTTTTATCTACTCCTAATTTGATAGCTATGTTTTAATAACTCATTTTTATTGAATCTTTCTGAAGAATTCAAACTAACATTCAGAAATAACATCACAGGACATGACTCTTAGTAAGCAGATAACTCGTGGTGGGAATAGCTGTGCATGAGCCCCCTTCTGGTTAGAGCAAATTAGGTGAGTGACTGAGGGAAAGTTGCCTCACTTCTCTAGGTATTGGTTTGCTCATCGGTAAAATGAGGCTAAGAATAGTTCTTACTTGGTTGAGTTGATGTGGGAATTGAATCACATGTGAAACCTACTTCCCTGTCCCGGGCCTATTATAAGAGCTCAAAAAAAATGTAGCCATTATTTGATTTTCATCATCATCCCAACAACTCCTCTTACTACTGTTATTCCTAGAGAGTAGCCCCTTCAATATGAGTGTTCACTGTGCCCTGGGATTAGTCAGTGTGTTTTATAGAGTGGATAGAAAAACTAAGTTAATTCAGTGGTTGGTTAAGAGCTTTCACTGTTTTGTTAGAGACCATACTTGGTAAAATGCAGTCTTAAAGTGAATATACTCATTAGGTGTTTAATAATGTGCTGGGGCACATAGTAGATGCTCATTAAGGAAATTCACTCTAAGACTATGCATTTTACCAAGCCTATGTGCTAGACTTGGAGAATCCGACAATAATGATACAGTTCTGCCCTCAGAAGTATCAACGGTGTAAGGGCTTCTTGTAGATAAACAGTGAATGTCATGTTGCAGGAGGTTGGCACAGGTTGCCATCACCAGGAACACTTGAGGTGTGAGGAGAGTGGGTAAACAAGGCATTCTAAAGAGGCTTCACCCTAGCTGAGACCTAAAGGTCAAATGGGAGAGATAGGGAACAGCATCTTCAGAACGCTGTCGGGGTGTGAAGCATGGAGTACGTAAAGGGAGGTGAACAATGTCAAGGTCGGCCAGATCCTGCAAGTCTTCCCATGCACGGCCCCACTTACTTCTACATCCTGATAGCGCAAGGGAGGGGTCTCATCCCCACCCTCAAGATGAGAACATGGAAGTATAGACAGGTGAAGTGACAAACTCTGGCCACACAGCAGCGAGTAGTAGTTGTGAGATTCATCCCACTTCAGGTATGTTTGGCTCCAGAGTCCATGAATTCAGCCACGCCATTGCACAGGAGGGAAAAGAGCAGGTTTAAACAGGAAGAGGGGCTGCGCATGGTGGCTCATGCCTGTAATCCCAGCACTTTGGGAGGCCAAGGCAGATAGATCACTTGAGGTCAGGAGTTTGAGACCAGCCTGGCCAACATGATAAAACCCTATCTTTACTAAAAATACAAAAAATTAGCTGGGTGTGGTGACGTATGCCTGTAATCCCAGGTACTCAGGGAGACTGAGGCAAGAGAATCACTTGAACCTTGGAGATGGAGTTTACAGTTAGCTGAGATTGTACCACTGCACTCCAGCCTGGGCAGCAAAGTGAGACTTAGTCTCAGGGAGAAAAAAAAATGGAAGAGAAGGATGCTAATTGGCTCAGTTTTGGCCAGAATAAGTTGGAGGAACAGGTGTGGTTGGGTGTTGTAGGGCCGCAGATATGGATGGATGGGACTGTATGTCATGGCATTTTTGAGGTTACATAAGTACGTTTAGAACAGACTAGATGTGGAGTGGACTTTCTGTCAGCGTCTTGCTAACTGGGCCAAACTGATTTGTTTTCCCTTTGACTGTTTTAACCTGTTTGCACAGCCCCACGTGGCTGTTTTTCTTAGAGGTGAGCATCTGCTAACTTGCTATGTTCTTTAGTAGAGAAGTGGTTCCCTTCACCCATGCACTAGAAGTGGTTCCCTTCACCCATGCACTAGAAGTGGTTCCCTTCACCCATGCACTAGAAGTGGTTCCCTTCACCCATGCACTAGAAGTGGTTCCCTTCACCCATGCACTAGAAGTGGTTCCCTTCACCCATGCACTAGAAGTGGTTCCCTTCACCCATGCACTAGAAGTGGTTCCCTTCACCCATGCACTAGAAGTGGTTCCCTTCACCCATGCACTAGAAGTGGTTCCCTTCACCCATGCACTAGAAGTGGTTCCCTTCACCCATGCACTAGAAGTGGTTCCCTTCACCCATGCATTAGAAGTGGTTCCCTTCACCCATGCACTAAAAGAAAGGTGTCCGGCTCTTCTCTGTGACTCTCATACCTATTACTTTTCTTTTGGGGTTCTTCAACTGACCATTTCATTTTGGCTGAATTCTCCACTTTGTGATTCTGAGACTTCAGCTGTGAAAGGGCTTCTTGTGAAGGTTGAAAGCATGCCCCAAGGCCAGTTGATGCGTACTTTTGAGTTGTTTTTATCCCCCCTACTCTTCCTCTTTAGATGGATTTGAAGACTATGGTCCAGATTGCAACAACATGAAAGTGACGGCCTTCTTGGACATTCCAGGCCAGGATAACCTGCCTCTGCTTACTCGCCTGGAGAAGTATGCCTTCATTGAGAACACCTTCAACCGGTAAGTCCAACTAGGCCTGTGCAGTGTGTTGACAACTGTGTTGTGTGCTTTAAGCTGACAACTGGGGCCACTTCTCTGTGACAGCTTTGAGGAGACTTCATGGCTGATGATGTAGGTGGGATATAGATGGTCATCAGGATGCTGGGGTTGTGTCTGAATGGTAACATCTTATTAGGCTTTTTCATTATTTTTGTTATTGTTTTACTGACCGCCTGGTAAGCCAGGAAGGAGATGGTGATGAATTTCACGGTGTTGAAATGATTAGGATTGCTAAGTGAGTGTCTTTCACATATGCAGTACTCAGAAAAGTCATGCATTCCTTAATTGAGAAGCACCAAGAAGCATCAGTTGGAAGCATTGTCTGCCCGCTTTGTTTTTTGACTGCACTGTGCATCAGGGACCTCAGTGGCAGTGTGTCATGCCATGCTCCATTGTCACTGTGTGTGGTGTTGGCAGGGTTCAACTCCAGGCTCACATTGGCTCGGCAGATGACCTTGATTCTTAATTCCCTGAAGAAAGCAGAAACTAAGGCTTCTCTTTCCATTTACACTCTACCCAAACTTCTGTGAATCTGAAAGCATTTTCCCCTCCTTTCTCAGCTGAAAGTCTCTCTCCTCCTGTTCTGCCCTTTGACAGGCAGTCTGTCCTGGATCCCTCGCCTCCCTCAGGTTTGCCTTCTGTCCTCTGTTGTCCTTGCCTGTTACAGGTGCCTTTTCACGCCACTTGCAACACTGGCTTGTCTCCTAAACTGTCCTCTGAGCTTCCCTACTTTGTCCTTCCCCATGTGGTCCCTAACTATCCCACTGGTAAAGACTTGACGGTGCTCACATAGTCTCTTTCCTTACTTTCATTGACTCTGAATTTTAAAAATTACATTCTTTAAAAAGAAAAAGAAATCAGAAAAATTACATTCCATGCCAAATATAGGCCAAGCCCTTTCATCTATTAAATCATAGCAAGCTCACAAGGATGTTACTGGATGAATCCATTTAATGTTGCAGGCGAGTCCATTATTACTCTCCTTTTTTGCTAGGGAATGATGATATCCTGAATGATGTCTTCTTTTCTTTTTTGTCTGTCTAGTTTTGGCACCTATCTACCGCCAAATAATGTAATTTAATTTTGTTGTTTCTGGACTTTATATATGTGAAATCATGCAGAATATGTGACTTTTATGGATTTTGCATATATTAATAGTTTGAATTTGTTCTTTTGTAATAGTGTTCTTGAATATACTGACATTTATCCAACTATTGTTAAAGAACTGAAAGCTTTTTGACTATTGCAAACAGTTTTCCTGTGAACAGTTTAGCTGTATCTGGGGACACACAAGTATGCATTTCTGTAGGACACATACTCAGGAAAGAACTACTGTGTGATGGTGCATGTTATCTTGTACTTTAGTAGACAATGCCAGTTTTCCAAAGTGGTTATGTCAATTTATACTCCTACCTTTGCCCTACTATTTTTTTTTTTTTTTTTTTTGATATGGAGTCTCACTTCTTTGCCCAGGCTGGAGAGCAGTGGCATGATCTTGGCTTACTGCAATCTCCTGGGTTCAAGCGATTCTCCTGCCATAGCCTCTCAAGTAACTGGGAATACAGGTGCCCACCACCATGCCCTGCCAAGTTTTGTCGTTTTAGTAGAGATGAGGTTTTACGGTGTTGCCCAGGTTGGTCTCAAACTCCTGACCTCGGTTAATCCACCTGCCTCGGCCTCCCAGAGTGCTGGGATTACAGGTGTGAGCCACCATGCCCACCGGCCTTACCTTTGCCCTACATTTTATCTGCCAACTGGTATTGCCAGATTTTTGTATTTTAGCCAATCTGGTCGTTTGGTGGTGTATATAGCGGTATCACTTTGTGATCTCAATTTTGATTTTCCTTACTATGAATTGAAACACCTTTTCACATGTTTGTTGAACATTCGTATTTCTTTTTTGTGAAGTGCCTGTTCAAATCTTTGGTTGAATTGGTAGGGAGAAGATGGATTGTTTGTCTTTTTGTTATTGATTTGTGGAAATTCTGTGTGTGTTCTAGATTTCAAACCTTTGTTAATTATGTATGATAAACATCTTTCAACTGGTGGCTTGTGTTTAAACTCCCTTTGTGGTATTCTTTTGGTGACCAGAAGCTATTCTTTTTTTTTTTTTTTTTTTTTTTTGAGACTTTGGGTAACAAGGTAACAAGTCTCGCTCTGTTACCCAGCTAGAGTGCAGTGGTGCAGTTCATAGCTGGAGCCTCAAACTCCTGGGCTCAAGAGATCCTCCTGCTTCAGCCTCCTGAGTAGCTGTGACTACAGGCACTTGCCCAGCAACTTTATTTTGCATAGAAACAGGGTCTGACTATGCTGTCTAGGCTGGCTTCAAAGTCCTGGCCTCAACGGTATGAGCACTTGGCCTGACAAACAAGCTATTCACTTTAATGTAGTTAAATTTATTGACATTTTCCTTTATACTTAATGCATTTAGAAGCTTTTTTCTCTATTTCTTTATATTGCTTTAAAGCCCTTATTTTTTTTTCCTGTGAAAGAGATATACTATAGTTCTGTAATCTGCCTGAACTTAATTTTTCTTTATCATTTGAAAAGTGACTCTAGTTTCATTTTTCTAGTGTCACAGTGTCATTTATCAAAAGTGTGTTCTTTTCTCACTGCTCTGGAGTGCCACCTCTGTTATAGTCCACCCTCTGTTTACAGTCTTTGTCTGGACTCTCTCTTCTCTTCCAGTGGTTCCCTCAGCCAATACTGCCTTGTTTTGGTTACTGTATATTTATAGTAAGTCTTGATATTTGATGTAGCAAGTCTTCCCATCTTGTTTTTCTTTTTTGGCGTGACTTGTTATTCTTGGTCCTTTGTAACTACCATATAAATTTTAAATCCAGCTCACCAGATTCTAACGAAATAAGACAAACAGAATAACTATTAGGATTTTGATTGGGTTTGCATTGAATCTATAGGTCAATTTGGAGAGTATCGCCCCTTTTGCAATGTGTAGACTTCCAGTCGGTAAACATGGTATATCTTTTCATTAATCTAGGTTTTCTTTATTTGCTTAATACAGTCTGGTCATTTTCTCTGCAGAAGTTTTGTGCTTTTTTTTGGTTGTGCATTTTAAAGAAAATTTGAGACATCATATTTTATCCAATTAAGAACTTAGAGCAAATCTGTGATATGATCACATTTAACAAAATCAACAACAACGCTTTCCAGTTTACCATTCTGTGTCCTTAGTACCTAAGGACTGAGTACCTAAGAGGAAGCTGTACAATATAAAATGCAGATGTTACAAAAGAAAAGCCAAAAAAACCAAAGAAACTGAACCACGTTTTCTTGACTATATCAAAAAATACCTGTTTCTGGTTGATTTGTTTGAAGCATGATCCAAATAAGGTCTGCACATTTCATTAAGTAGATGTGTCTCTTAAGTCTGTTTTTGTTTACAGTTTTTTTTTTTCTTTTTGATCTTAAACTCCTTTTAATCTTGAATGGTTCTCTCTTTCATCTTTCTCTATATCATCTATTTGTTGAAGGGGTTATGAGCTTAGATAATTTTCCACATTCTGTATTTGGTGGTCATCATTCTCATGGTATCATTTGCCCTGTCTTTTCTGTAAACTGAAAACTACATTTGGAGAATTGATTATATTCTGCTTCAATTTTTTTTTTTTAAAAACAAAACCTCATATGTTGTTTTGTCAAGTTCATATTACAAAACATCAGGAAACAGTGTCTAGTTGTCACACTTTTAGAGATTTCATATTGAGCAGTGGGCTCAGGTGTTTTGTTTTTTCATTATAAAATTCCTCACCAGTCTTTCTTCTGGTGATTTCAGGGTTCACAAACAATCATTGCTTAAATCTGTTATTTCATTCTGGATTAGAAAATGGCAATTTCTTTTTCCTTTTTTTTTTATTATCTGCAAGATCTGTAGTGTGGCCCCATTTCCATCCTGTTATTTGTTGTTTGTGTCTTCTTTCTTTTTTTCCCCCTAGATAATTCTTACCAGAAGGTTATGAATTTCATTAGTTATTTCAAAGAATCAAGTTTTGGCTTTGTTTCCTGTTTGTTTCTTTTCTATAATAGTTCAGTAATATCTGCTTTAATCTGTATTATTTTTTCTTGGGTTTTTTTTTTTTTTTTTTTACTTTTGGGATTTAATTGCTTTTCTTTTTCTTACTTCAAGGATTCTTAGTTTAATTTTTTTGTCTTTTGTTTTTGGCTTTTCTTTTGTAATATCTGCATTTAATATTGTACAGTTTCCTCTTAGGTACTATCTTAGTTGCATCCTCAAGTTTTGATATATAACATTTTCATTATTTCTCAGCACAAGTATTTTTAATGTTAATAATGATTTGTCCTTTGATCTTTTTGTAATTCAGAAGTGTGTTGTTGTATTTCCAGATATTTGAGGATTTTCCAGATATCTTTCTGTTATTCATTTGTAATTTAATTCTTTTGTGGTCAGAGAACATACTTTGTGTTTTTTCCCTTTTAAATTTGTTGAGATATATTTTATGGCTCTGAATGTGTTCTATCTTAGTAAACTATTCCACGTCCACTTGAAAGGAATGTGCATTGCAATGCACTGCAGTGTTTTTTGGGTATCTTATAAATTAGGTTAAGGGTAATACATGCTTATCTATTTTCTGTTTTACTTGTTCTGCCAATTACTAAGAAAAATGTCACCTGCAACCACAATTGTGGATTTTCCTTTTAATTTTAGTTTTACGTATTTTACATATTTTGAAATTTTGATGTTGGGTGCATACACATTTAGTATTGTTCTGGTTTGTTGAATAAATTGGTTTCTCCTTTTTTGGAGACAGAGTCTTGCTCTATCTCCCAGGCTGGAGTGCAGTGGTTTGATATTGACTCACTGCAGCCTCTGCCTCCCATGTTCAAGCAATTCTCATGCCTCAGTCTCCTGAGTAGCTGGGATTACAAGTGAGCACCACCATGCCTGGCTAATTTTTGTATTTTTAGTAGAGATGGGGTTTCAC